AGACATTCTGTAGTAAACATAAAAAAAAGATTTAATCCAAAGCGGACCATTCGCCAAGGAATCCAATTTACAGGGTTAAATTATTTTACACTAAACACACACACGTGATCTAAAATATTGAATCGAATAATCTGTTCGTGTCTATAGAAAAAAAAAATAGTGCCATGATTTGATTTTAATCAGAATCTGGACACGAATCCAACTTTACGCACAGCAGCTCCACCACACACACACACACACACACACACACACACACACACACACACCCTGACGTGGGGAAGAGGAGCTGAAGCCACCGTTCCTCCCTCCGTGGAAACAGTTCGGGATTATAACTGACAACTTTTTATTAAGAGAGAGAGGGAGACGGTTTTTATTCCGCGCTGAATAAGCTCCTGCGTTATTGACACCGAGGCTCGGGAATCAAGTCACTGGATGTGTCCATGTTCCTTTCTCTCTAAGCTTCGATACATCCAAGAAACTAAAACAACAACAAAAAAATACATAATCAGGATTTTAGGCTGCGTTCACCGTCATGTGTCGCCTCCCAGCAGCTATACCGGGGGTTCTCTGTGGATAATGGCTGCGCGATACTTTTCAAGAGGATAATTACACGAGTCCGCTGACAGCTCGACAATAGCAGCTACAGCAGTTTGCATCCAAGTTCAGTCTCAGGTTTGCCTGAGTGGGAAACGCTCCCCCCTTCTCTCTCCCCCTCTCCCTCTCCCTCTCTCTCCAGGTACAGGGCTATCCTGGAGAGGAAAAACGCGACACTTTGCCAAGTCTCTCTCAGTGGGCGCTCCCACGCGCCCGGCTCAGAACAACCAGCATATCAGAGAGGAAGGGAGGAGGGAGAAATGTGGAATAAAGACGAATACGCACTAATGCAGTCATCGCCCGAGAGCGCGGCCTCGCTTCAAATTACAAATCGTATTTCTAGTGACTAAAATACGATTGGATCTAATTGACAGTGTCACTGATTATTGATCACAGGCCTGCATCTCGTGCACATCACCCCCCCCCCCCCCCCCCCCCCCCAGCCAATGAATTCCTCCATCAAACCGGCCGTACCTAATATTAGACAGCCACAAGGGCGTGCGCGCTCCCGCTGCCTTTACCTACTGCGCGCCGTGAGAAGGTTCATTTCCTGACTGCTTAGCTCGTGACGTCACATCCAGTGGCGTCGCCGAGGCTGCCCCCCCCCCAACATATACACACACACACACACACACATATCTACTATTACGCAGTGCCAATCTGAAAGTAAATGGAGAAACCAAACTGGAAATACTTCCTCTCGGCCGCACGACGCACGCCGTGCACGTCCGCGTGACACTACACACACAGTGAATTCTGTGATTTCGCGGGAAAATGTTGGCCCTTTAAAAAATAAAAAAAAATAAAAAATCATAGCAGCTTATTTATCAGGCTTAGAAATAAAAGATGAAAATGGCGGTGGATCTCTCCCTGCGCGCGCTATCATGTTCCAGTTAATGTTCCTGTTTGAATAAATAATGACACGACCCATCGCTGCTTGTCACTTTGAGTCGCTGCACTGGGTCACTGCAAAGATATTGATGAGTAACCGCCGATAACAGCCCGCACCAGAGGCTCTCTCCTCTTTCTCTCCTCTTTCTCCCCATATGTGCAGACCGTATATAGGAGCTCAGTCTCCCGCGCGTCCTTGTCCGTTGCCTTCACTTCACGGGGAGGAAATCGGCTCAATTTCGGGAGCTGCCATTAGAATAATGTGCCTGTCACCGCGAGAGGACGCACTGTCACAATTTTAAGAGCGTGAATGTCCCGCAACCTGCCAGAGGCCCAGAGCAACAGGCTCTGCTGCAGCCCCTCTCTCTCTCTCTCTCTTTCTTTCTCTCTCTCTTTCCTCGTCTGCACCACACGGCCAAAAAAAATTGCACATTTAGATCTGTGGAGACATAAAATCCTATAATTTATCTGTATGTTTAGTTTTTGAAGAGTTGAGTATTCTGAATTTTAAATCTTTCCTCTTTTAAAAAAATAAATAAATGCACATATTAGTGTGTTTTACACATTAATCAATGCACCACAATTTCCTTTTTGCACCCACATATGTTTCCATGCGTAACTGGGGTCAGTCGAATAATAAATATTTCCACTTATTGAAATATTACGTTATATATATATATTGTGTGTGTGTGTGGGGGGGGGGTGGCAAGGTCATTGAAAAGAATCTTGCAGCACTTCTTCTTCTGCATATCTGCTGGCCCACGTTATATTCAATTAGGGCAGGCCCCTCCCCTTAACTGATGACACTGACAGACCCTCCTTAAGTTGCGTCGCGCCACAGCTGTCTGCGAGCAGTGAGCTGCCTGGCGCCATCCTGAAAGAATGCCTTCACTGTAAAAAAAAAAAGAAAAAAAAAAAAAGGGGGCTGGAGAGAGAGAGAGAGAGAGCAAGAGAGAGAGAGGTAGACTAGAGCAAGGGTGAGAGAGTCAGAGCCACACGGAGCCAGAGAGAGAGAGAGAGTGGAGTTAATGGAGAGAGCTACAACTGCGCACAAACACAGATTTGATCAGTGAGTTTAACTTGCTGGTGCTGGTCAGTGCGCAGCGATCGAGCCGTGCGCCCTCGACTCAAACCTCCACTACTTGTTGAGCCGGGCTCACTCACTGACGAGGAAGAAGTTCAGGAACTGTGCGTCAGGCTGCTGGATTCCATTTTGGACGTATTTATATGACAACACCTTTGTTGCATTTGTAATGTGGGGTATGTTTCGAGTTTAAATACCATTTGATTACTAACAGAAACCGGTCGAATTCACTTTTCTTTCTTTTTTTTTTTAGCTGCATGTGAAACGTTTAGAGAAAACCAGACAATAAAATTCTCCTCTCTTGTCTCCAGGTGAACAGAAGCGAGCGCGGAACCTGTGGATTTAACGAGAATAAAAACGGATTTGGGACAGACTCTTTCTTCTCTTGTGACGTGCACCGGTTTGCTTCGGCGTGCATGAACATTTTCTGAAGAAAAACCAAACAGAACAGAACAAAACAAAAAGCAAAGCGATGGAAGTAAGTGCAGATCAGCCTCGCTGGATGAGCCATCACCCAGCGGTGTTGAACGAGCAGCATCCCGGCTCACATCACCCGGGCCTCGGCCACTCATACATGGACCCTTCGCAGTATCAACTCGCTGACGATGTGGATGTACTGTTTAATATCGATGGACAGGGGAACCACGTCTCTCCATACTATGGAAACTCTGTCCGAGCCGTCCAGAGGTACCCTCCTCCTCCCCACAGTAAGTCACCAGCCTGTTCGGGCCTTTTTATATAATAATGTGCTTATTTCGCTGTTCACACATCTGTGCGTAATTCACCCCGGAAGAAATGTCCCCATTAACTGAAAGTGTTTGGATTTTATTTCTATTATCGGTTCCAGAACAGCTTTCGGTTTTCGCTATGAGCCGATTCGTCTTTAAAAAAAAAATAACGAAATATGCACCAGTGATAAATCTGTATGCCAAGGTTCATTTCTACCTCCGCGGCTCCACTCGCAACTTTAAAACGTTAAATAACACTCAGCTGACTCATATGTCAAAGTACCTTTTTTTTGAAAGCCCGTGCGTAATTAGTTTTTTTTTTGTTGATAAATCAGGTGTTTAGTCACGGGCTTAAACACATAGACGAGCTGGCACAGAGGTCACAGTTACACCTGGAATATGTTGCTCATGCTTTATCTTTATCTTTATTATATTGTGCTATTCGTGTGCATTTAGTCATATGTTTCCTATTTTGGAGCCGTTAACTTCCTGAACAGTCAATCACGAAGTATACCGAGAAGTTGACGTATAGTTTCTATTATGCTCTTGTTGTATGAAGGCCTGTTAAACGGGGGATGAATTTACGACTTCGGGACGACAGAGAATATTTAGAATCAGCCGCTGGAAGGACAATTGTGTCAGAAATATAAAAATCCACGCGAGTGTTTTTGATAAATCTGTGCGTAAAAGTGAGACCTGGCCTGAAACGCGCCTCTGACCCTTTAAAAAGGATTAAATGTGAGTGTTTGTTTCAGACTGAGGGCAGGTTGTGATGTGTTCTTGTGTCTCTGTGCTGCTCCAGGTAGCCAGGTGTGCCGTCCCTCGTTACTGCACGGCTCTCTGCCCTGGCTGGAGGGGAGCAAAGGCATCGCCCCGCACCACAGCACTTCTCCCTGGAACCTGAGCCCCTTCCCCAAGAACCCCCTGCACCACGGATCCCCGGCCAGCCTGTCCGTCTACCCCCCGGCCTCCTCCTCCTCCCTGTCCACCGGCCACTCCAGTCCGCACCTCTTCACGTTTCCCCCGACCCCACCGAAAGACGTGTCCCCGGACCCGGGCATATCCACCCCGGGCAGCAGCTCCGGGCGGCAGGAGGACAAAGAGTGCATAAAGTACCAGGTGACCCTGGCCGAGAGTATGAAACTGGAGTCAGCCCACAGCCGGAGCGTGGCATCAATCGGAGCAGGGTCAGCCTCTGCCCACCATCACCCCATCGCCACATACCCACAATATGTCCCCGAATACGGCCCAGGCCTCTTCCCACCAAGTAGCCTGATAGGTGGGTCATCTTCTAGTTATGGTTCCAAAACAAGACCAAAAACAAGGTCCTGTTCAGGTAGGCGTGCGCTTTATTACATTCCCTTTTGATCTAACATGATTCCCCAGATTTGCAGCCAGTGATGATTAGAAATGTAAAAAAAAAAAAACAACCCATGAGCAGCTCATTCATCCCTCACAAGAACAAGGATCAAACTGTTTCCAGATAGACGCACAAAGCTCCTTCTTTAACAACAATGATAATTATATTTAGATATATTTAACACAAATATAACAGAAACTGAAAAACTAATTAAATTACATTTTTTGGAAATAAATTTCTCATAACAACAAAAAAAAAATCTAATTCCCAGACTGGATATTTTCTCCAAACCAAATAAAACCCATCGTGACGCAGAGGAGATCAGAGTTGACTGCTCTGCAGATTATTTTATTTCCCTTGTCCCCTTCACCGTCCTGTGCACTGACACAGAGGGACAGAGGGACAGAGGGGACGCCGGCTCTCTGGGCTCTGTCGCCCCGTTTATATGTTTAAGATAATCCCATTACTGTCAGACCAGTGCGCGCCACAGTTGCATTGTTTACGCAGCGGCAGAGCACCGGATGCTGCTCGTTCATTCAGGGAGAAAAAGCGGGTGAGCCGTCGCCGTGGCAGAGTGCACGAACCACCGAGGGAGGGGAGAGAACAGGGGGGGGGAGACGTTTCCAAATCGCGAGTAATTATTTTAAAGGTTATTGCTGCGCAGCTGAAAAGCAGTTTTTCTGTAATGAGATTAATATCAGCGGCTCTGATGTGCAGTGTAGAAAACAGTGGATTAGCTGATGCATATCATCAGGATTATTCTGCATCGCACATTAATGCACATAAAGATTTTAATTCGAGCATAATGGGAGATAATGTTCATTTAAAGATATTTCTAGGATCTGAGGAGCGTTTTCCTTCGAATGTCGTTAAACTTCACATTTTTTAAAAACCCTGCGCCGCACAGACTTTTTTATTTTATTTCGTTTGCACTGGATCAGCTCTTGTTTGATTTCTGCAGCGTCTCCTTTCTGCCAATTTAGAAAAGGAAGAGAACGCACTTTTCCAGGAGCGTGCACGTCTGTGCCGGGCTGACGTATATATATCTCTCTCTCTCTGTCTGTGTGCGTTAAAAAAAGGGGGAAGTGCGGTTGCACGAAAATGCAAAAGGCTCTCGGCTCTGCACATAAGCTCAGTGTGCGTGTGTGCTTTGGAAAATCTGAGTGTGAGCAGCTCCCTTGTTTCACTGCTACAACCTGAGTGTTAGTGCGCGTCTCACCTGTCGGTGTCACTAGAGAAGTGGCAGCAAACAGCAGCTCAACAGCCCCTGTCAATTCAAAAACACAGAAATAACTCAATTAAATACAAATATATATAATAACACCAATCATTATCATTATTATTATAACAAATCTCATAATTATTACAATTATAACATTCCTCTTCAGGATTGTTATTATCATAAGAGATGTGACGATAAGGAACAGAAGAAAACCAGAATAACTAGATCTGATTTAAATAGCCACGGACCAAAGTGTTTCATAAAAAATCCTGTTGAAGGACACGAAGCTTTGAGATTAGTGTGAGCGTGTGTGAGTGAGAGTGTGTGAGTGTGTTTAATGATTTCTGCCTGATGGACCTTAACTGTGACATTAACTCTTATTCATCACCAACATTAACCACATGTGTTTAATTTGTTAGGCCTATATGAGTGTGTCACAAATATAATAAACTCTATTAGTATTACTGTTGTATTTTTATGATTAATATTGATGCTTGTTGTTGTATTTTGAATTTACATATGACACGTATAAATATTTCACCTGTGATTTTAACCCATCTTTTTTTATTTTTAAATGAAGCAGGATTATTTTTTTTTTAATTTAACCTGAACCCTGTCTCCATGTTTTTGTTTGTGCGTGTGTGTGCGTGTGTGCGTGCGTGTGTGTGTGTGTGTGTTGGCTCTTGCAGAGGGCAGAGAGTGTGTGAACTGCGGGGCCACGTCGACCCCCCTGTGGAGGCGGGACGGTACGGGTCACTATCTGTGTAACGCCTGCGGACTCTATCACAAGATGAACGGGCAGAATCGCCCTCTCATCAAGCCCAAGCGGCGGCTGGTACGTCCCCACCACATTTCTCTGTTGATGACATTTCCGTCTCTCTCTCTGTTTTTCCCCTCTCCAGGAAGAAGTAGGCCTATTAGCTGCAGGAAATTGACTCGACAAGTGCAGGTCTCTGTTTTCAGATACTACCACAGAACAAAAACTGCACATTTTTTTATAACTGCAATGAAGATGCCTATTTTATTAAAAAAAAAAAAAAAAAAAAAAATTGTCATTGACTCTATTGAAAAGTACTTGTTGTAGTCATGGCTGCAGGCCTGCATTGAAAAAACAAGCTCCACCATATGAATATTATTATTTTTGATATTTTATTGTAGGCTGTTATCTAGAGGAGCTATTTGTTTTAAGTTACTTCAGGGAACCCCCCTCTCATCACAGCTTTAGAGGAGTTCCCCTGCTTTCTATCTGAGGAATAAATAAAAATCTTTCGAGGCACAGATGCCTCTTCACTCCTGCTCCTCTTCTTCTTCTCCTCCTCCTCCATCTCGCCTCTAATGTGAAAACCCGACTTCCCAGGGAAAGAGCTGCCGGATGTCTGAGCAGCGCAGATAAGTCGCTTTTAACAACACAGCCCCGCTTCCCCAGTCAAAACACACGCAGGCTGCAGAGTCCGAGCCATGCACGGCTCCATGCACGGGCTCCATGCACGGGCTCCATGCACGGGCTCCATGCACGGTCTCCATGCACGGGCTCCATGCACGGCTCCATGCACGGCTCCATGCACGGGCTCCATGCACCGGCCCATGCACGGCCCCATGCACGGGCTCCTGCAGCACAGTCACGATAGTTTAAGTGTTTTAAAATAAATCTGTGCGTAAATAAGAACAGCGTGGAGGTGAGGGCCTCATCCAGAGCAGCGTGCACATACAAGACCAGGACGAATCTGACCAATCGACACATTGATTAAATCATATTTATCACATTTAACGTTTCTGCTGCAGAAATTTACTGGAAAACCAAAAAAAATTGACCCTGAAAGTAAAAAAAAAAAAAAGTAAATAGAACGGAACTGATAATAAAGGATTATAATAAAGTTAATTCCTCTGATCTGATTGGTTATTCGCTGCACGCAGCAGCAGCAGGAGGAGGTTATTAGGCCAGCACACGTGTTTAATTGGAAATCCCTCCCCGAGATAATGTAGTCCTTTACGTCCGCACGTCCTCTGCGGTCACCTGTCTATCGATTGTTTTCTAGAGATTATAACATCAATGTCAGGCCACTGCAGCAAACTGAGGCCGAGGACAGCAGCTGATAAATCCCCGAGAAGACGTGACTTTGACTGGAGGAAGTCAGGCTTTCACTCCGCAGCTCGAATAAATCCACCTTCTCTTATTCTTTAAATCATTAGTGTGCGTAATAACTGGTGCATGTGCAGTTATGTGGTTAATTCCACTGCGTCATAATTTATATTCTATTATAATTGCAGGAGGAATCTTCTCTAAAGCCTGTGTAGCTTTTTATAAAACACATTTCTTTAGGTTTAATCGATATAAAATCTACATTCAGGCCTTTTTCTTTCCTTTTCTTTTTCATGTCGCCATTTCAAACCGAGCCTCTCCGTGCATCATGGCACAAACGCGCATTTTAAAGGGGGAATTTAATCAGATTTAATAGCTCTCCCATTTCAAGGCAGCACTTTTATGTCTTCTGTAAATATTTATTCTGCAGGAGGTATGTGCTCCGTGACGCTATTTTTAGCCTCGAGTGAAAGCAGCTCTGTTTTTTTTTTTGTGTCTTTATTTTAAACTATTTTCATGCAGAAAAAAAAAATGGGGAAAGAATATACAGTTAAAATAAAGCCTATGAGGTTTTTTTTGGGTTTTTTTTTTACATGCACATGAGTGGAAATAAGATATGTTTTAAATCTGCAATGAAAGAAAAACACAATTGGATTTTCTATATTGCATTTAGAGCTGTACAGTGCTGTGTGTGCAGGGCTGCCAGAATCACACAAACACATCCTCAAACATTTAAATGTAACATGAAAAGTATTTTTCCTTAGATTCTGGTTTGAATAAATTAAATCTCAGATTCTTCAGCCCTGCACGCTGGCGTTAAATAAACCTGCTCATTGGGTTATGACGTGGTCATGTGACGGGTTTTTCCTCTTCTTCCTCTCCTCTGGCCTCTCGGTGCTGGGGTGCAGTCTGCAGCCAGGCGGGCAGGGACGTCATGTGCAAACTGTCAAACGACAACGACGACGCTGTGGCGGAGAAACGCCAACGGGGACCCGGTGTGCAACGCCTGCGGCCTCTACTTCAAACTGCACAATGTAAGAAATAAACCCACATGTCTCAGGGCTGCAGATATTTACTCCATCTTTTCTCCCCCTGCCTCCTGTGCACGTGTGATCCCTGCAGACGGTGTCCGGGCCAGGCTGATAACAGATATACTGTAGAGTTAATGTGATTTATTGGCAGTAAGTGGGAATCTAAAATGTGTAAGAGCAAAGTGAGCTAAGCCTGCAGCCGCCTTGCTTTTGCATGTTAAATAAGAGGAGGGGGCTTAATTAAAATTCGATTAATTTCTTATTTCTGGGAGATGAGGTCCTCCCCCCCTCTGACCACCCATCCCTCGGATTCCTCTTGGGTGGGATTGAGCTTCACATCATTTCACATCCTTAATCTGGAGACCCCAGGGACCCTCTGCATCTCTGCTCTCGGTGCACAAAGCTGTAACTTTTAATCAAACTCACCATTATCGCCAAAATAATAATAACAACCAAGCTAACGTGTTGGTTACATGTTCCCCAACAGATAAAGGTGGCCTATATATCTCCCGTATCCCTGCTCGGCCGCAGCGCTCGTCACGCACAGTGCTCCACGTTAAATCATTTTCCCATGTTACTTTTGGCAGATCGCTCGGGCGCTGCAGAAACCAGATTCAGACCAAGGTCAAAAGGGGAGAAGAATAATATTTCCCAGTTACATATTAGCATTTGAACCGACCCTGACCTCGGTGTAATTGTGAAATTAGTTTATTTTGGTAAATCCAAGACTTCTGTTGGGGCTTGCTCCCTTTGAAACAAATTCCACATTCTTCATGGAGAATTTAGCCGAGTCCCTGCTGGCCTGGTCTGTGCTGCTGATGTGTGTGTGTGTGGGTGCGGACAGTCAGTCCCAGAACATCTGATGGTAGCAGTCTGTTGTCGCGTAGGTTTCAGCTCAGATAAGAAACTTGTGAAAACAGAGACGTTGCCACAAGCGTGAGGTTGTGTCAACACTCAAAACACTGACAGACTCTTTTCAGTAATCAGGGGTTTTCTCACCACGTGTGAATCATACCTTTCTCATCTTCGTTTCTCTGATGGGCTGAGGTTTCAGGTGCTGCTGGTGTTGGGAGGTGGGGGATGCACTCTGCGGTGGTCACCGACACAACATTTTGGCTTTTGTTTGACGTGCCGGGGCGGCGGGCGGAGCCCAGGCCGGAGGCCTCGAGGCTTCCTCTGCGAGGCGCTAGACACATCGGCATCAAAGAGCGCGGGCCTGACCGGCTGTAAGGTGGGCGTAGCTCGCCTCAGAGCTGGAAGCAAGGCCGAGCGAGTCACCTGCAGGAGCCACATCTTAAGAGAATGAAACCACATCACTGAAGGGGGGAGGGAGGAGTGCACAGAATAGTCTCTCGGCCCTCCACCAATCACTGAGGCCATTCTGCTTTAAGAGTCAGCGAAAAAAAAAAAAAAAAGCCAAACGTCTCAGACAGCGCGAGGTAGAAATCCCTGTTCCCATTTCCCCGGGAAGAAGCGCTCAGAAAGATCAGGAAGCCAGCCGGCCTCATCCACCTCCCCTCATAATCCTGCCCACAGCCGGAATTCCATCATCCAGCTCTCATTCCCAGCTAAACCTATGCTGGAATACGGCAGCTGGGGCCATTTTGGCCAGGAGACGGCCACGCGGTTGAGGAGGAGGGTGGAGAGGAGGACTTGGCCGACGCTGGCGGTCGTCATGGCCATGTGTCTCTGTGGTCGACTGGCTGCACATTAGCTGCCAGACCCTTCGCCGTCGCTGTTCCGAACACACTCTCTCTCTCCATCTTCCCTCCCCCCCAATTCCTCCCTCCATCTTTCCTTTTTTTACTTTCTGGCATGGCCCACAGCCTCAGATACAGTCCAGCTTAAAGGAATCAAAATTTAAATCCACCCCAACACACACACACACACACACGCATGCACAGTGTGTGTATAAACAGTTTTGTGTTTCAGGATGGGACATTCTTGTAATGGGACTCCATTACATATCATTATGTCTCCCTGTAGAACCCCAAAGTCCGCCTCTAAGAAAACTAAAAAGCTGCGTGTGTCTGTTTTGAATCGCGCTGACGCCGCTCGCTCACTCACGCTTTCTTTTTTTTGTTGCGCTCCCTGATGTTGAACGGACTCACGATGTCTTCTGTGTTTAAAACTGCACTTTTAAGATTTCTGTCCTGCCGCGAATCTGCCTTAACAAAATACTAATCTGCCATCTTCTCTCTGTCTCCTTTCGAGAGCAGATCAACCGACCTCTGACCATGAAGAAGGAAGGCATCCAGACCAGGAACAGGAAGATGTCCAGCAAGTCCAAGAAGAGCAAAAAGTCCCAAGACACCATGGACGACTTCTCCAAGAGCCTGATGGACAAGAGTAGCTCCTTCAGCCCGGCCGCCCTCTCCCGCCACATGTCGTCCTTCCCGCCCTTCTCGCACTCCGGCCACATGCTGAGCACCCCCACACCCATGCACCCTTCCTCCGGCCTCCCATTCGCCCCCCACCACCCCTCCAGTATGGTCACAGCCATGGGTTAGACGGACCGGCGCTTCACTTCGCCGCCCCCGAACCCTCGGCCTCGCCACCCCCCCCACCCCCCGACCCCTCGGTACCTCTGCTGACCTGCTTCCACATCCTCAAAGACAAACGAACTGCTCCACCTAAGCTCCCCTGTCTCACCGCCGAGCGAGAGCGACAGGCTTTAGGCTCCTTTGCCCTCAGTTGTATCTTATTTTTATAAAAATCAAAGCGATGTGAATTCTTTGCAGACTTGACTTGACTGTGGCGCACCGACCTCCAGGGGGAAGATTTTTTTTTTTTTCCACCAACCAGGGGGAGAAAGAACAATCTCTCCCCGAGTTGCCGCCGCTGCCGCCGCCGCCACCACACCGAGGCTTTCCTCCCAGCTGATCCACTCGATGAGGAGCTCCATTTGTGTACAAAAAGCCATTTTTCCACACTCAGACGTCACAGAAACTGACATTACAAGGACTTTTTCGACGCCCTCTTCCCTTAATTTCCAAACCCGCCTCTCCTCACCTTGCACCTGTGTAACAGGAATCCCCGCTCCCCTTCCTCTTCTTCTTCCTCTGCTGAAGACGAGGAGAGACAGACATTGAATATATTTGTACAAATTGTATGAAATACAGTACATTTAATGAAGACTTTTTAATTAAGTAAGAAAAAAAGGAAATTTGCCTGTGGGCAGCTAACGACGAGAAGGGTACGAGTCACAGCAGGTGGAGAGACTTTGCCGCCGGAGGAGAGAGGAGAGGAGAGGACGCCTCTGAGTCCTGGAGGAGAACAGGAGGAGGAGGTTAGAAGACGAGCGGGAGAGACTTCAGAGAAAGGGCAGGCCTCGGTTTTTGCCTGCGTGAATTGTGTTGCATTAAGTTTGCAGAGAGTCAGCAGCTCTGGCTGCAGGCGTCTCTCTCTTTTTTTTTTTTTTTGGATGTGCTATAGGTCTCGGGCAATTGGTTTGTGTTGATGCGTGCACATACACACACACACAGACACACACACACATGCACACACACACATACACACACACTTGATCACCTGAAAGACTTTCTTCCTGCCCACAGATTATATGCATTGTGAAAAAAGTTCCTGTATTTGTTATTTGTATGTATAAATCAGAGTACCAAAAATACGAAAGAAACAAAGATGTAGAATTATTTCCTTATGTTATGCAGACTGAATGGTTGTAAAAATTTAATAATAATCACTAGTGTAAAATATGACTGCTTTTTGTTTCGTATTTTTTTTCCCTCTTTGAAAATAATAAACTAGTTTAATCTCTGTTGACATGTTAGCGCCGTGGTCAAGAGCTTTCTTCTGTCTCTCATTGCCCCTCCCATCACCCGTCACATAACCAAAGCCAGACACACCCTGCTTC